GTGGGGAGCAGGTAGGGCGTGCACTCAGAACAGAGGCAGTTTTCTAGGCAAAGGCACGGCAGTGGGACTGTGCAGGGAATGTTTGAATATTCACCCCACAGCGCGAGAAGAGGAGAGGGAGGGAGAGCTGCCCTATGAGGTTCTGTGGCCATGGAAGGTGTGTAGACTTTATTCTAAGTGGAATGAGAAGTCACTGGAAGGCTTTACACAGGCCTGGGAATATAATATGAATATTTTAAAAATAATGAGTCAAGCTGCTATATGGAGAAGGTAGAAGACAAACAGGGAGGCCAGTTAGAAGATGACTGCCAGGAGTCCTCACATAGGTGGGAGAAGGTGGCTTGGACTAGAGGGGTCAGTGGAAGGTAACCTGGCAGGATAGGTTAATGCTTGGACACCAGTCAAAGAGTGAACCAAGGTGGCTCCCATATATTGGCTGGGGAATTTCCTGAGCTGGAAGAGACTGGAGAAGGAATGTAGGCAGGGGTGTTTGAACTCTATTGTTTTTTGGTTTACTGTACCCCACTAGAGAAATATATAGGTCACAGGTATAGTCACCACACTGTTCAAATGACGAGCTACTGGTGATCATTCACTGAGATGAAGACATTGCTCTGGGTCATGAATTTTTAGCCAGATTACCCTGAATACAGGTTCATAAGGTAATGATCGTGGTGACTGGAATCAGCTTGCTCAAGCTTATTTCAATAAAGAAGCTACAACTGAGAGGCAAAATTTTATGCAATACATTGACATCAAATAAATTTTACCACCTCCTGAGAGATGAACATTTTCAAATTAGGGAACAGTTGAGGAAGCACAACAGAGGATTAATAAGCCATATCCACAGATGAATTGTCACTTTGACAAATGTGGCTTTCATTCACAGGTGTGCTGTACAATTTGTAAATGCAATAAACTCTTAGAGATAAAAATTTTGTAATACTGTTTTACAATAGAGTGGGGGAAAAATCTTTACATTAGAGACTAGTCAAATGGTTCCTAATTCTGAGGGTCTGCTCAACTAATTTCATCGTGAAGTTACACAGATTTTTACAGTTTGGTTCTCTGATATCCACGATAGAATTATTAAGCAAATATTACTCTTTCAATCTAAGGTACAATAGATGGGAATCTATTGTATTGACAGCTAATATATTGATATTTCATTCTATAATTCTCAAATACCTTATGTTCTTTCTTGGCAAAGTGTTCTATCAAAAGACACATCCTTTTTTTCAGTGACTGGCAACTAAAAATAATTCTATAAAGCAAGCTTGAGAGTGTACACTGAGATTTACTCCACAGAAGTTTTCATACAGGCCATTTCATACAGTCAGGAGGAAAAATACTGCTCATTCATGTGGCATACCATTTAAAGATTTTACAATATTCACAATTTACAAGATCTCCATTCTTGGTAGTAATCAACTAATGCCAGTCCCTTACAGAAACAAAGCCTCTTGAGACAGCACCAGGGAAAGAATTTAGAGCACTTACAGGTAATTCTGGGTGTTTTGTTGGCTCAATTTTCCCATATAGTCATGGTCATAGGGGAAGGCCTTCAGGGAGAAAGTCTTGCTATATGAAGTGACTTTAAAAAGTTCATGGAAAAACGAATTTAAATTATGAATTATTTTGGTGCAAAAAATAATTCATAAATATTTTCTCATAATACCCATGAACTTAAAAAGTTTCTTTCTTGAGAAATAGACACAGGAAGATAGAGACAGCATTCCCAACAGATGGGGGAGGGGGGTTCTGGTGTTGTGATCCACCCTCAGCCTCCAGCCAGCCCGGCTTCATGAACCTGAACCTTTCCCCATGGGATTGCCATGCCTGGCCTTTCCAGGAACTTTTATAAAGACCTTTCCACCCCACGACCCCTTGAATAGGCTGATATGTAGATCCTGGGGCTCCTCCAGTTGTCTGTCTTGTTCAGAGCTCAGCTGCCTAGATCAGGTTAGTGTGGAGCCCATCTGAGTAGGCCACTTCCATCAGCTCATCTAAAACTGAATTATAGGAGCTGCTGATTTCTCTGCCAGTCCTCTTTTATGAACATGGCCCATGTGCTGCATGTTGTGTGTGTGTGAATTGAACTACCATCTCACATCCTACCAGTCCAGCCGAACCACCAGCCACATAGGGAGCAGAGAGGTTTGAGTACACAGTAACCAAAACCTGAAGACAGTGAAGTTTTGGAATAATTCTCTCCTCCCAATCCCCACCAGCAGGAAAAGGAGAGAAACTCCCCTCTGAAAATCTAAACCCAAAACTCCTACTGTGGATTCCATGCTTTCACCCCCAGTAGAGGAGGGAAACTGTCACAGAGCTAATTCATACCACAGGGAAGTACACAAGCACGCAGCTACAGAAACATACTCCAAAGAGGTAGGGAAGTGGATATATCACCAGATGACTAAAAATCAAAGCAGAGTCCCAAGAAATAGGAGAAAATCGGGACACATATTCCTCACAAAGGAACATAAGAACTCACCACAATGGGTAAAATACAAGAGATTAGAGAAATGTAAGAAAAAGAATAAACAATATTCATCATAGCAAAACTCAGTGAGATGCAAGAGAAAACAATCAATTCCCGGAGATGAGAAAAATCCTTCCATGACTTGAAGGGAGAACTCCATAAAAAGACAGACACCCTAAAAAGATTCGGACAGAATACAAAGGATACCAAATAGAAGATAACAGAAGAAGATCCTCTCCGAAGCATATCATAGCCAAATTGGTAAAAACTAAAGACAAAGACAATACTATAAAAATGGCAAGAGAGAAATGCCAAGTTACATACAAAAGTTACTCAGTTAGACTGAACATGAGATCTTTCAACTAAAACCATGCAGGCAAGACATATTTAAAACTTTGAAAGAAACACAATTCCAGGTAAGTACCATACCTGGAAAGATTATCCTTAAAATGGGAAGGAGAAATAAATCATTCCCAGATAAACAAATGCTTAAAGAATTAACCAAAACTGGGACCAGCAGTTAGTGTAATGGCTATGTCACTGGACTCCCACGTAGGCGACTGCAGTTCACATCCCGGACCCGGTGGCTTAAACTCACGCTGGGCGCGTGTGCGTGCGTGCCCAGGATCCCGAGAGGAGAATGGAGGAGAAGGAATTGCAGCGTGGCCATCCCCTGTGGGGGGTGATTTCTTGCTTTCTATCTCTCTGTCTCTCTCTGTCTGGCGAGCGCACGTGCTCTATAGCAAAAAAAAAAAAAAAAAAGAAAAGAATTAACTAAAACTAAACCAGCTCTTTAGGAAATACTTCAGGAAATACTACGCCAGGAAAATTAAAGTGAGATAAGTAGAAGTAGAAGTAAGAGAACACAAAACAATTCGAAAAATAAAAAAGTAACAAAATGACAGGGACACATATCAAAAATAACATTGAATATTAGGATTAAATTCCCCAACTAACAGGCTAAAAATGCAGATTCTACAATCTTACACACAAGAAAGTTTAAGTACAAATTCACTAATATTTGATACAGTTGTCTCCACAGGTTTCATAGTGCATTTGTATATTTATAATTATAACCACTGTTCATTGTATGAGACTAGGTAACAGAGGAAAAGCCCAAAATGTTACAAGTAGATGAGTCTTTGGAATGACTTTAAACAAGATTAAAATAAAAGAACTTATAAAGCCTATAAATCACCAGTCACAGACTCTACCATGTCTTCTCTTTTAAACATCTCTTTCAAATTTTGTTTTCCTTTTGCTTTTTGAGGACTTAATTTCTTTATGTATAGTACTGTAGTCTTATGAGAACTAACAGTGAGTGAGTATAAGTTTTCATTTTCTATATCTTTTTGATGAGCTATTGTTATGTACAATTTTACCTCCTCCTAACTGGACTAACGATAGACACAGATCTTTTCAGATTAGAAAGTCTTATCCCTCACAATCTTCTAAATGGAAATTACAAATTCTTCTTTCATTGGCTATGCTAAGATTATCTTTGTTTTCCAAAATTCATACTTATTAATTTATGAGACTTTTTGTTGTTGACTTTAATCACTTTGGTTTTTATAGAACTGCATATCACAGTAAAGAACATCACTGACAATTGAATATGTACTTCCAAATAATCAGTGGAGT